CCTGGCCCAGAGGCGTCTGGGGGCTCCGGGGCAGCCACCGTCTTCATGCAGTACGGCATCGTGGCCAACTACTGCTGGCTGCTGGTGGAGGGCATCTACTTGCACAACCTCCTGGTGGTGGCTGTCTTCTCTGAGAGGAGCTACTTCACCCTCTACCTGTGCATTGGCTGGGGTGAGTGTGGGCAGGGGGGCTGCTCCTCCCTGTCCCCCAACCCCAACCTTGGCTCTGCCACGCCTCACCAGCCCCCTGCCCACCCCCGTTCCAGGGGCACCTGTGCTGTTCCTTATCCCCTGGGTCATCGTCAAGTTCCTCTACGAAAACATCCAGTGAGTACCAGCCCCTGAAGCAGGTTGAAGCCTGCAGGGCAGGGGTGAGCGGGTGTGGGACATGTTGAGGGGTGGTGGGTATAGTGTCACAGCCCCAGAGAGGCTCCACACCATCAACCCATGTAAGGAGCAGGGTTTTGGGCTTGGCTGGAGCTGCCAGCGCCACACCAGGTTCTAGCAGCAGCCCTCTTGAGGGTCTGCCCAGCCATCCCTGTACCCCCCATCTGCAGGTGCTGGACCACCAACAACAACATGGGCATCTGGTGGATCCTTCGCTTCCCTGTGTTCCTGGCCATCCTGGTGAGTCTGGGGCTGTGGCTCTGCCTTCCACAGCCCCTCACTCAGTGTCTGTGAGGGCCCTGACCCTGCTACAAAAGGAGCTGCTGTGGGCAGGGGGCAAAGCCACCCTGCCTGCCCCTGTCTGCTCCTGCCCATCCCTGTCCCTCACAGCTCACTCTGTTCCATTGCAGATCAACTTCTTCATCTTCATCCGCATCATCCAGATCCTGGTCTCCAAGCTCCGAGCCCACCAGATGCGCTACACTGACTACAAGTTCAGGTGTGTGGTGGGCACAGCCCTGGCTGGCAGCCCCGTGGTGCACACGCTGGTGCACACGCTGGTGCACACACCTGTGTCACCACCCCGTGCCCCTGGCGCTGACGGGGCCCTCTCCGCAGGCTGGCCAAGTCCACACTGACACTGATCCCGCTGCTGGGCATCCACGAGGTGGTTTTTGCCTTCATCACAGACGAGCATGCCCAGGGGACCCTCCGCTACGTTAAGCTCTTCTTCGACCTCTTCCTGAGCTCATTCCAGGTGAGCTGGCCCCTCCGCAAGGACCTTCTGTCTCAGGAGGGACCAGACCAGGGTTGAGGTGGGGGTCTGGCCGTGCGCCTCTCACGCCTTTCCTCCCTGTGCCCAGGGGATGCTGGTGGCCATTCTGTACTGCTTTGTCAACAAGGAGGTGAGCGGGACAGTGTGGGAGGGGGCAGCTCGGGGGTCCAGGCCAGGCTGACGGCAGCTGCCCACAGGTGCAGGCGGAGCTGCTGAAGCGGTGGCAGCGCTGGAAGCTGGGGAAGGACCTGGCAGAGGAGTACAAGCACACCTACAGCCACGCACCCAGCGCCCGCAATGGCGCC